AAAGCAAATCGTATATTTTAAATACCCTGTATCAGAAGAACTTATTTAAAACTTACAAAAACCAAACATCTAAAGAAAACAAAAAACTCAACTACGGTGGAGCCGGATGTGTTCTTTAAGCTCTACCTTCAATTGTAATGAGCACTTTAAAAAAATAAAACATAAGGCCGGGCGCTGGTGGCTCACACCTGTAATCCCAGCACTTTGGGAGGCCGAGGCAGGCAGATCATGAGGTCAGGAGTTCAAGCCTGACCAACACAGTGAAACCCCATCTCTACTAAAATTACAAACAAAAAAAAAATTAGCCAAGTGTGGTGGCAGGCACCTGTAATCCCAGCTTCTCAGGAGGCTGAGGCAGGAGAATCGCTTGAACCCAGGAGGCAGAGGTTGCAGTGAGCTGAGATCGCACCACTGCACTCCAGCCTGGGTGACAGAGCGAGACTCTGTCTCAATAAATAAATAAATAAAGAGAGAAAAGAGAAAACTTCCAGGAATATTGTCCTGATGTCTAGTTCTGTAGTGAACGTTAATACTGTTTGAATAGTAGTGGATGATTCTGAAACTAAGATCCATTTACAATTTTAGAAATAATTATATGATAACACATAGCTGTCAGTATTTATAAAACATCTTGTTATTTAGTTGCCATAACATCATAAAAGAGTGCTATAGCCTTGATACATTGGCTAGACTGTTTAAGAGGAAAGGAAATAAAGCTTACAGTAATTATGTAAGTTATTTCCTGAGTTAATTCCTCAAAAGGATATACTACACTTGATGGTCCTCTTTTCTACCAGGCTTCATCCAAAGTAATTTATTTGGAAACCACTTGCAATGATAGGGCTGTGGGGCACCATTTTAATAACTGGATGCATAATTTGTGCCATCACATGCATATATCGTTTCATCAAGCACATGATTATGAAGTCAACTTTGACAGGACAGAATTGCACTGCAAGAGGAGAAGTGGATAAAGGCATGGAGTTAATCTACTTAGGCTTTCAGCACACTGGCTGTGCTTTATTGACATTTTACCCACACTAATAATGTTGGCATGTGTCTGACTTCTTCACTGTTGGCACAGTGCAGACATTCACACTGGGCATTAAACTTGTTAGTTGATAAAAGAAGATCCCACAATTGGAATCTCTGTAGCAGGTTCCATGGTTTGATACTTGATTGTCTTAAGCAAGTATGTTCTTTGCAAGCAAAGCACATCTACAAGCTATATTACCTTTTGTTATACACAGAGATGCAGTTTCCTTTAATGTTACAATGGTAGAAAATAAGAAGTAGCTGAAGTATTGAATCCAGGTTAAAATACACAACAACGTGTACTTATAAAGGACGGAATGAAACTAGAAATGTGAAGCCCAGTTAGGTGACAACATCCGTCCATGCCTGTTTTTCTCCCCATCAACTCTTTCAGCAAAATGTGATGGTCATGTTTGGCTGTATTTTCATTCTTCTCCGCAACTCTTATATTCACATGAAATTAATGAACATTCCAATTCTGAATAATGTGAAGAGACCAGGGGAGTGGAAAACTGCTTAGCCACATAGACAAAGCCCATTTATGTTTGGGCTTTGAAACACTTATTTGAATTTTGATTTGTGGATATTTTTTATTCTTGGCACTCAGTTTATATTTAATTTTTGTTCCTGATGTGATTTGAAAGTGATTGGTAGCAATGGAATGACTTTCAAAGGTGGACAGGAAAGGGTGGAAGGGAAGAAACGTAGGGTCTGCTAATCCAGCAGTCAAATCATTGACCCATGGGTGATTAAAAGTTGGCTGAGGTTGTGGAAACAAGACTGCCCCTCATGTGATGGCAGCTTCAAGTCTCCTTTGTAGTTTTTGGATGTGAGGCAGTGAGCCAAATGTTCTGTCTAAACTGTTTGGGAACTGCTTTTAAGTTCAGCACTCTTGGAGAGGTATTATGTGACAAGTTATTGCTTCAGTGCCCTCAAATGGCACCATGGCCTCAACGAATTAGAGCTTAAGCTGGAGCTGTGGAACTTAAGGAAGGAAGTGGTTCTAAACTGCTTTTCTGCCTCTAGCCATTTCTATATCAACATATTCCCTTTAACAACATCTCTCTGTTAGAAAGGGCAGTTTGAAAACGCTCCTCTTCCCCTCTCTTTGTTGTCTTTTTGCCCAACATACACATGTTGTGGGTTTTTAGTGAAGGATGCAATGGATGTAAGTTAAGTATATAATGACACAGCCATTTCTTCTTACCCAAGTCTAGTCTTAAGCCATAAACTTGTGAAATGAGCCAATTGTGGTCGTTCAGTGGATTGTAGGATCTCCATAAAGTGCACCATCCTTTCTCTATTGAGGACCCTTTCCAGTGGGGAAATATTCATGTAAAAAGTTACCATCTTCATCCTTGTCATTATGAGCCAAAGTTGCCAGATCCAACCTGGTTCCTCACTGAAGTGCCACACTCCTCTATTTCGAGAGGAAACTGTTATAGATCATATACAGATGTCCTAAAAACAGAGAGAGAGAATAGGCTTCATGTCCAGGTAAAGTTTGAAAATCACTGCCTCCCAATTAACCCCGTTATGGAAATTGACAAAACACATCTGCATATTCTAAAGACCTGAGATGTCCTCTATTAAAGAGTTCTATTCATCTTTGTTTGATTCAGCCTTTCCCAAATTTTTTGACCGTGGGACACCTGAGAATGCTGCCTAATAATTTTCATTTTTCTGTCTTTCAAGGGTTCAGGAACATATAGCAGGTGATTTTCCTGTTTATTGCTTTTGTCTAGGGAATACTGCAAAGTGCTAGTCATTTACCTATCACAGTCCAAAATTGTGTTTCTGAACCCTTTAGCTTTAGAATCCTGCTGGCATTTTAGAAAGAACCTCAGACACACTGACAAAATACATTTTTAAAAAATCAGAGTTCTAATATATTGTTATAAGAAAATTGAACTAGTTACTTTTATGTTTAGAAGGGCGCATTTTCTCTCAACGGGAAGAGGTACAGAGAAGGTCAAAGTATAACCACGCGTTTGTGTGGTAAACATGAGATTAAAGCAAAGACAGTTGATTTGTGTGTTTTGAATAGCCATCAAACTTCAGTTACCATAACCTTTGCTACCATTTGTCCCCATTGAAGGAGAGAAATATCCTAGTAACTGGACATGATTGCCCCTAAGAAAATTTTAGAGATATTTTTCCTCTCTGTTTGCCTCTCTCACTTGCAGTGAAATAATAGATGAACATAAGTTTATTTTTTTATTTTTTTCAGTGAAACAATAGATGAACATAATGTTTTAAAGTACTATAAAAAAAAGGACTTGCCCCATCTTCCACTTTCTACTATGTAGGTTTCATCTTTACAGAAAGTGTCTTCTGTGTCTTTGGGATATTTATTTGGGTAGTCAAGTCTACGTTATAGACCTGCATCAGCGATATGTTTGTTTGTTTGTCTGTTTATTTGAGACGGAGTCTCACTCTGTCACCCAGGCTGGAGTGTAGTAGTGTGATCTCGGCTCATTGCAACCTCTGCCTCCCGGGTTCAAGGGATTCTCCTGCCTCAGCCCCCTGAGTAGCTGGGACTACAGGTGCGCCACCACACCTGGCTAATTTTTGTATTTTTTAGTTGAGGCAGGGTTTCACTATGTTAGCCAGCCTGGTCTGGAACTCCTGACCTCAGGTGATCTGCCCACCTCGGCCTCTCAAAGTGCTAGGGTTATAGGCATGAACCACCGCACCCACTTATTTCTTAATATGTTAATTTTATACATTATTAATGTCTCTTTATTCTTGAAAGGGAATCTGTTTGTTTTCTTTCCCTTCATACTTTATATCTTTCAGGATTCCATTGCAGGAAACAGAATAATTCTAGCTATTTCAAGCGGGAAGAGATTTTAAACTACAAATTCGAAGCTTTGGAAATCACTGGAAGGGCTGAAAGAGCAGGATGTAGGCTGTGATTTCAAGCATGACTCCTTGAACTGGATAAGATTAGTGAGCAGTCTTTTTACTGAAGCATAATTTACCTACAGTATAAATTCAGTTTTTTATGTGACTAATTCAGTGAGTTTTGACAAATCTGTGTTGCTGTATAGCCACACGCCATTACTTTCAACATACAAAACAATTCTATCACCCTCAAAAATTCTCCATGACTCTTTTCCTCACTCCTCCCCAGCCCCTGGCAACCACTGATCTGTTTCTTTACTTACAATTTTGCCTTTTCTAGAATATTGTATAAATTGAATCATGCAGTATGTAGTCTTTTGTGTCTGGCTTCTTTCACTTAGCATAGTGTTTTTTTAAATTCATTTATGTCATGGTATGTATTAGTAGTTATTACTGGGTAGTTTGTTGTATGGATATACAGTCATCCATTTTCAATCTGTGATTGAATTCACAGATGCAGAATCTATAGATACAGAGGGCCGACTGTACCACAATTTATACATTCACCAGTTGATGGACACTTGAGTTGTTTACAGTTTTGGGGAATTATGAACATTCATATGAAGTTCTTCGTGTGAATATATGTCTTCATTTATCTTGTTTAAATAGGTAGGAGGGGATTGTTGAGTTGTATGGTGAGTGTGTGTGTAACTTTATAAGAACTGTCAAACTGTTTTCCAGAACTTCATATCATTTTGCACTCCCATCAGCAGTATAAGAGAGCCCCAGTTCCTCCACGTCTTCAGTACTCTACTGTCAGTCTTGTAGGTAGAGTCTTAACCTGGTTTTCCTGATCCCCAGTGGGTTCTCCCTTCCAGATTTGCTGTTACATAGCCAGCCCCAGTTCTGTTTCTCTGTGGTAAAACAGTGATTTATATATATGTATGTGTGTATATATATATATATCTGCAAATTGGTGACATCCAGGATGCAGACCAGCTCCAGTGCCCAGCTGAACTTGCTAATTGGTACAAAAAACAGCGTTGATCTTGGTCTTAACTAGACCCTCACTGGATTTGAAATGTTGCACATAGCAATGTTTTATGGTTCTCTTTCAGGCTATTTGATCACTCCATGGAAGGATTTAAAAACTGGGAGTTCATGACCATTCATTGCTGGGGGGAAAGAGCTGCTGGTGACTGGGTCCTTGAAGTTTATGATACTCCCTCTCAGCTAAGGAACTTTAAGACTCCAGGTGAGAACTCCCTCTCTATACATTGGTCTACTGTGTAGAAGAAAATGATGGAGTGTATTTTGGCCAGAGTGTTTCACACTCACATATTAGCATCTTTTTTCTAGTGATTAATTTCATGTGTGCTTCGAATTACCTGCACGTTTTTCAGTTTTCAAGATTCATTTGAGAGGTAATAATTTAAGGATACGAAATAAAGAATATATATAGTATAGAACGAAACGTGACAGCTTTTGATTGATGTTTCAGAAGACATGATCCACAGCTCTAACCAGCTTCCCAGACTTCCTTTGTCTGCAAACAAGCCAGCCTGTCCACTGGCAATGAGTTCAACTGCATGATTTCACAAGAAGAGACAGGCTTCCTTAGTTATCTATTTCTTTTTAGTTTTCCCTAAATTTACTTTTCAGTTTAGGCAAGACATTGGGCTCAGCCCATGCCAGCTAATCTGGGTACCACCAAAGAAAATGATGATGATATTCTTCCCTGCATGAGCCCAAGAGCCAAGGAAAAGGAAATGCTTCTTGACATGTAAAACAGAAATTATGATATTAGCTAAGGTCTTTTCAGGTAGGCACAGTCTGTTTCTTCACACAGCCTATTCCCGTCTTCATGGTAACCTGTAAAGCTTGTTTATAATATCAAATAAGGGAGAGTACAAGGCAACATGGGGTGAGAGACTGTGTTGCCCATTACGGAGCCCTGCAGAGTGGCTCAGCAGTGAATGATCTGTTTGATAACTAACTAGCTTCCCACCTATCCATGAACACATCTTCAGCCGTCAGATAAAGTCCTCCTTCTCAATGCTCTGTCCAGTCTTATTTAGAAGAACCAGGCTTGGGGGAAGTTTCAGGACTGACATCCAGTTCTAGCCCTCTCCAGATTACAGAATCAAGTAACCTAGACATTCTGTAACTGTAGGAGTGTGTATCATTCAGATACAGCTAGCTGCTCAGGGCAAAGGAGGCACACAGCAGAACACAGGGATAAAGGGCACATTTGCCAGACTTTTGCCTGCCAATCTGAGAAAGTTACTCATTCTGAGAGATCCATTGTTGACTGTACAGTTTGGCTGTCTCTTCCCTAGTTCTATAATGAGGTTCATCTTTGTTTGCCACAGTGGTCCCATAATCAGGAAGGTCAAAGCCAGAATAGTGGCCAGGTCACAATGCATCAGGATAAACGTTTCGTTAAAGAGTATCTGTGCCCAGCTCACTGCCAGAATGCAGCCTGAATATAGTGGTTACCAAGTTTTTATCAAGAAAGCAAATGTTTGTCCACAAGGCAGGATTGATAGAGAAAACATGCAGATTATAGACCAGAGTTTCTAGACCCTTTCCCCTCTTCGTAATCTGCATAGTTCCCAGGACCTTCCTCTCTCCTTCGTTCCTCTTTGCAGCACATGCTTATTGCCCCTGCCATGAGGATGCACAGGGTCATGGCACATAGGTGAAATGGAAGCATGGTGACTGGGCTGTGATCCATTAGCGGGCATCACTGCAGGACTCTTAGAGGACAAGAGACCCCGGATAAACAAACACTGTCAAATGTGGCAGTTGTGTGCCAAGGAAGGTGCAGACAGAGAGAGTACGTTTTTGAGCATTTTAAACAGTTATAAAACTAACTAAACGTGAGTCTGTTCTTTATTACCACCAGACACCAGCAACTCCACTCTCCAAGATAAGCCCAGGCTGCACCTAAGGGCTACTGGTTAACCATGCATTGCATCTAAGGGTCAGGGATCATGAATATAAATCCCTCTGCCCTCCAGAAGTTCTGAGTCTGTACAGAGCTTACTGTGATTATGTGCGTTTAAAACTCTACAGTAGCTCAGGTAATCTAGAGTTACCTATTTCATAGCATTGGCATCTCCTTATACTGTTTAAATGTTCACATTTAACCCTAGTCACCTGCAGTCATTTTAGAAGTGTTGAGGTGTTCTTTTTACGCCAGACGAGAGATACCCTAATGCTATTATGGACCTGGAGACTTTAATAGAAACATATAGTCTTTGTGTATCTTTCCTTCAACCTTTCATTTCAGGATGAGTTACACCTTTAGTAACGGACTTTGAGTGGCCTGTTTATGGGCGTGTGTGTGTGTGTGTGTGTGTGTGTATGCGCATGTGTCTATATCATTGTTTCTGTAGTATACAGTCCTATGATAGGTTTCTTCCTCTCTGATTAATAAGGGATTACATCAGCAAGCGAGTAGAATTTCAGTTGCATCTGTAGAATTTTCCAGCCCGATTAAATGGTAGACTCATCCCCAAATATAGAACTTGCTGGCTCCAAACTGAATTTATATTTGTTTATTGTTTCTTCCCATTTATTTATTGTTACAATACATATTAAAAGTGTTTGAGGGTGTTGTTTTGATTTTTGGCACATTGAACCTATATATGCAGATTGCATTTGTGTGTTAGCAAGTAAGATGGATTTTTCTCCTTCTGTATTTACAAAGCTATTTCATAATAACAGATTTCAATATTAATTGCAAAATCATCTATAAAATTTAGCAAACAGAAAAAGGGGTAGAGGAGAAAAAAAATGATGGCCCAAATATGGCAGTTATTTGGTGTGAATTGTAGTAGAAGTTCTAAGGAAATAAAAGTACATAATAAGTGAAATATAAAGAGATGAATTACACAGGAAGGATGTCCCTAGTGGGCTTATGATGTCCTTCAGAAATGGCACAAAGGGAAATAATCAATTTTGAGATAGCACTCTTCAAAGCACTTAGAGGGTAAACTTTTGCATCCAAAATGATCTTAAATAAAATGAACTGAGTTCTAAGGTGACTGATGATTAGGATGACCTGTAGTGTCCTTATATTATATGCTTCATTTGTACACTTGAGAGATGCCATAAGGAAAATGGGTTCTCTTTTGCACTGCTACCTAAAGGCAATCAGATAGGTCATCAATTTCCAGCAGTCATTCACTTCTTACCACTCCCTAATTCATGCTACTTAGAATTCTGGGCCTAAATAACACCCTGATTGTGAAAAGCATGGTCATTAACAAATGAGTCCAAAGAAAAGCTGGCAGAGGGCAAACCGTATATAAACTAATTGTACTGGTCCAATGTAAAAGTCAGAAAAAAATACATGCATCACAGAATGTTCATTTTTAAATGTAAGGCTCCTAAACTCCTAGAAATGAATAGGAGACAATATTGTATATGGTTTAAACACACAGGATTTGGACTCGGAGTATGTTTTAATACCAGTCTGTCCTCTTATTGCCTTTGAGGAAGTTACCAACCTCTGTGGCTCTGTTTCCTCCTCTATATATTGGGAATGTTAGTACCTACCTTAGAGTTGTTTTGAACATTGAATGGAATAAAACTTACAAACCAGCTAGCCCCAGACCCTAGCCCCTGACCTTGTCTGGGTTCTATGCATTAAGCCAAGGTGAGAGGGGTTCTGAGGGGCATCCTGCCTTCCTACCAGCATATGCCTATGTTTGTAATGGTTTTGTCTTAATCACTCCTGCTTAGGGTTGATTCCTTTTGAGGTCAGTTTTACTAACTTTAATGAAATGGAGGCATGTTTCCTTTTTTTTTTTCTTTTTACTTTTTGCGTTGAACACAATTTTATGAAGCTAAGAAATAAGTTAACAAGTAAGAACTAAATAAGTTAACAAATAAGTTAACAAATAAATAAGAACTAAAGCAACAAAAAATGCTCCTTGTGAGTGATCCAAACTCATAGAAGGTGAAACACTTGCCTCAGGTCTCAAGGCATTCTTGACCAGAAAAATGCTGTTTTGGGCCAGGTGCCACCTGGTTCACGCCTGTAATCCCAGCAGTTAGGGAGGCTAAGGTGGGTGGATCACCTGAGGTCAAGAGTTCGAGACCAGCCTGACCAACATGATGAAACCCTGTCTCTACTAAAAAATACAAAAATTAGCTGAGCGTGGTGGCAGCCACCTGTAATCCCAGCTACTTGGGAGGCTAAAGCAGGAGAATCGCTTGAACCAGGGAGTCAGAGGTTGCAGTGAGCCTGGATCACGCCATTGCACTCCAGTCTGGGTGACAGAGCAAGATCAAAAAAAAAAAAAAAAAGACAGAGAAAATGCTGTTTTGCACATTAACCCAGAGAACATTCTGCAATGATGGAAATGCTGTCCAGTAGGGTGGCCACTAGCCACATACAGCTCTTGAGCACTGGAAATATGGTTAGTGTCATGGAGAAGCTGAATCTTAAAATTTTTGTTAATTTTAGTTCATTTAAGTTTAAATAATCAAATGTGTAATGGCTATCACATTGGACAGCACAGGTCTATAGGATACTATAATTGGTGATGTATTCTTAATATTGAATGAATGATACCAGGAATTAGGGAGAACAAAGAGTTGTTTTGTCTACTTATTAACAAGTCAGATAATGCCAAGAAAAAAAAATTTTTTTTTGAGATGGAGTCTTGCCCAGTCCCCCAGGCTGAAGTGCAGTGGTGCGATTTCCACTCACTGCAACCTCCGCCTCCCGGGTTCAAGCTATTCTCCTGCCTCAGCCTCCCAAGTAGCTGGGACTACAGGCACATGCCACTGCGCCTGGCTAATTATTTTTGTATTTTTAGTAGAGACGGAGTTTCACCGTATTAGCCAGGATGGTCTCAATCTCCTGACCTCGTGATCCACCCGTCTCGGCCTCCCAAAGTGCTGGGATTACAGGCGTGAGCCACCGCTCCTGGCCATATAAGACTTTTATACCTAGAAAAACAAAGCCGCCTATTAAGTTCTGGGATTCTCTGAAATATTTGTAATTTGAAATTCAGCCCTTGATCCAGTAATCTGAAGTTTGTTTCTCAGTCTTCCTATAAATGCTGATTAAATCAAGGCCTCTCCTGTAGTATGTGCTCAGTCCGTATGTGGTATGTGAATTATTAAATAGTTAATTCTGCAAATGGTGAGAAATATGCATTTCTAGCTCTGCGTTTGACGTAGTGATTCATATCCATCTGCTTCCCACAGTTCTTTTGCTTTTTCTTGAGTGAGAAGGACTTAAAGATGTTACAAAGCTAAAGAGGGAAGATTTGGTCATGCTGTTATTTCATTATTATTTCTCAAGGTAAATTGAAAGAATGGTCTTTGGTCCTCTATGGCACCTCCGTGCAGCCATATTCACCAACCAATGAGTTTCCTAAAGTGGAACGGTTCCGCTATAGCCGAGTTGAAGACCCCACAGACGACTATGGCACAGAGGATTATGCAGGTGAGCTGGCTTCCAGTGGGACACAGCCTAAAGAGAGAAAGCTCATGTGTCGTCCCACCACAGGGGGGAATGGAGTGGAGTGGAGTGGAGTGGAGTGGAGTGGAGTGGAGTGGAGTGGAGTGGAGTGGAGTGGTGGGAGTGGAGTGGAGTGGAGTGGAATGGAGTGGAATGGAGTGGAATGGAGTGGAATGGAGTG